GACCCGAGAACTAGAAAGGCGAGGCTCACCACCCATTTATCCCTCCACCTTTCAATTAGCCCCACATGTGATTATCGGCCAGGTTGGCACAATTAACTAACTCAGTGCTGAAAGAGCAAACACACAAATGAAAGAGAAGAAAAGTGTGCTTCTTCCAAAACAGCATCTGTGCAAAGAGAAGACAACTGTAGGTAGTTACTCTTAACGCCTCCATAAGAAACAGAAAACATTGTGAAGGTGGGACAGTCCAGAATGCTATAAGAATAGTCTCTCAGAGAAGTGAATTCTTGACAATCAAGGCGGTAGCATTAAAAGATGGAACTTGATTAAAAATATGAAAACTCCGTGCAATAAAAGAGCTGAAAGGGAGAGTTCAGGAGATCTTGAAAGGAAAGCAAAGCGCAAGGAGAAGAGGTAGAAAAGACGATCTGGCCCCGGAGGTCCATCGTCTAGGATGCTGGGCCACATCACTGACATTTCAGTAGTCCCCTCGGGAGGGAGAACAACCGCAACAGAAGGGGAACAATAAGAAACAAAAACCCAAGGAACTGAAGGGCATGGATTTCTCAGTTGATGAAGAGCACAAAAGGTGAGAAACATAACCCCCCACATGTACATTTTCATGAAAAGCCAATCCTGGGAACAAAAAAGGAGGCCCTAACAACCAGGGAGACCACTCACCAGAAACGGACCTCATATGTAGTGAGAAAGAAGGTCGGGAAACCCCTCCATGTAAGCTATTGACATGGCCCTCTCCTCTTCATGTGACAGGCAGCCACATCCTCCTTCCCGTGTAGTCCCAGGCACCCCCAGAGACACGGTGGAGAAGGTCAACGTCTACGCATTTGGCCACATTGGGTGCCTGGTCACCAGGGTTACTTTCAACTCCAGCAAAGTAGACGTTGTTGCCACCCATGACCCCTTCATGGACCTGAAGTACATGGTCCACATGTTCAGTATGATTCCACCCACGGCGAGTTCAATGGCACAGTCAAGGCTGAGAACGGGAAGCTTATCATCAATGGGAAGGCAATCTCCGTCTTCCAGGAGCGAGATCCCGCCAACATCCAGTGGGGTGAGGCTGGTGCCGAGTATGTCATAGAGTCCACGGGTGTCTTCATCACCGTAGAGAAGGCTGGGACTCACTTGAAGGGCGGTGCCAAAAGGGTGATCATCTCTGCCCCTTCTGACGATGCCCCCATGTTTGTGGTGGGCGTGAACCACGAGAAGCATGACAGCTCCCTCAAGATTGTTAGCAATGCCTCCCGAACCACCAACTGCTTAGCCCCCCTGGCCAAGGTCATCCATGACAACTGTGACATTGTGGAGGGACTCATGACCACAGTCCACGCCATCACTGCCACCCAGAAGACCGTGGACGGCCCCTCTGGGAAACTCTGGCGTGACAGCCATGGGGCTGCTCAGAACATCATCCCCGCATCTACTGGTGCTGCCAAGGCTGCGGGCAAGGTTATCCTGGAGCTGAAATTCACTCGCATGGCCTTCCATGTCCCCACCCCCAATGTGTCCATCGTGGACCTCACCTGTCATCTGGAAAAAACTGCCAAGTATGATGACATCAAGAAGGTGGTGAAGCAGGTGGCCGATGGTCCCCTAAAGGGCATCCTGGGCAACATTGAGGACCAGGTTGTCTCCTGTGACTTCAACAGTGACCCCCCCTCTTCCACCTTTGATGCTGGGGCTGGCATTGCCCTCCATGACCACTTTGTCAAGCTCACTTCCTGGTATGACAATGAATTTGGCTACAGCAACAGAGTGGTGGACCTCATGGTCCACGTTGGCCCCAAGGAATAAGAGGCCCCCTGGACCACCAGCCCCAGGAACAGCACTAGAGGAAGAGAGGCCCTCAGCTGCTGGGGAGGCTTGGCCCCAACTTGATCCCCCAACACACTGAAAATCTTCATAATCCCAAGTTTCCATTCAGACCCCTGACAAAGGGGAGGACCTTAGAGAGCCTAATCCCCTCAAGTACCTATAAAAAGAACAATGTACCCAGAAATGAGAGCGAGAGAGAGATTGGCATAACAATCTCAACAATAGGCACAAACACATCAGAGATCATGGAGATGATGAAAGGACCAGACAATGATTTATTTTGTTTTAAGATTGCAATGAGTCGGGCTGACTCAACAACCAACTGACAACAACAATGGAAAGTCCCAGGGAGAAAATAACACACTAAAGAGTAATAATTAGAATGCTACCTTTTGGAAGTTGCTGGAACAATGATTTCCAGACAACACTGAAACAATGGTTTCCAACTTTGGAGGAAAAATGACCATATTGGAATTCTATACCCAGCTAAACTATCATTTAGGTGAGCGTGCAGAATAAAGACATTTTACAGCAATATATCTCCCGTGTGTCCTTTCTTAAGAAGCTACTGAATGACACACTACACCCAATCCAGGAGTCAACCAAGAACGAAAAAGACTTGGGAGCCAGGGAAAGGGAGAACTATCCCAAGGGAGAAGCAGTGGGGACTTAGGGGATGAAGACTACGGGAGTCATTGATGCATGCAAACTGTGGTGCTGGAGAAGAATACTGAAAGTACATTAGACTGATAAAAGGACAAGCCAATTTATCTTGGAAGAAGTGTGGTCAGAAGGATGGCAAGACTGTCTTACATACTTTAGACATGTTGGCAGGAGAGACCAGGCCCTAGAGCAGCAGTTCTCAACCTGTGGGTCGCAACCTTTTGGGGGGTCAAATGACCCTCTCACAGGGGTCGCCCGATTCATAACAGTAGCAAAATGACAGCAATGAAATAGCAATGAAAATAATCTCATGGTTGGGGCGTCGCCACCACTTGGGGAACTGTTTGAAAGTGTTGCGGTATTAGGAAGGTTGAGGACCACTGCCTTAGAGGAAGACACTGTGTTTGTGAGAGAGGGAGCAAGGAAGGGGAAGTCCCTCAGGAGATGGCTAGACACCATTGCTGCAACAGTGGACTCAGAGCAGGAACAGTTAGGAGGATGTGTTGCATGCAGCTGTGCATAGGGTCGCCGTGGGCCGGGATGGATCTAATGGCACCTCCCAACAACAAGACCAGAGAAATGCTCAAGATGCCAGCCTTGCCCCAGGCCCGGGGAGCAACCACACAAGCCCAGGGTGTAGCAGATGTCTCCTGGAGAGATTTCACCAGAAATCATGTGTTTCTGCTGAAGCTACTAGGGAAGAGTCTGAGGAATAGGGACAAGTTCAGAGAAAACGGGCAAGCCAGTAAAAACAAAGGCAATGATTAACTCCATGAAAAACCGTGGGGTTAGGAAAAAGCAACCAGGGGCGTGCTCCTTGCCCACCAGCATCATCACTGGGGGTTGACCTCGCTAGAATGACACCCACTGGGAAGATGGAGGGACCCCGGAGAGGTGGGTGGGCATGAGAAGGGACAGAAGAGAGACTAACGCCATCTTTCTTCCGAGACGTCAAGAAGACGTTGTGTAGTCCTGTCCTTGAGGGAATGGAGGACATGCCCGGAGAGGACCAAGACCAGATGTGGGGCTTGGGGAGGGTGCAGGGCATGTCCAAGAAGCTGCTGCTTCTCCAAGTCTCCTAGAAAGATTTGATTCTTAAATGATGTCCAAACATAACTGATCAAAACGTACATCAGAAATCCACTTCTCCTCTGAGGCCTGGGACAGGTCTCAGGACTCCTCTGGACTTGAGTGGCAATTGCAAGGGTCCATCAGGAAGAAGACCCGGTTTCACTCGGTTTCCTCGCAGACATTGTGAGTCAACGCCACCTCCCAATCAGGGCAGAGAGGTTGGCTTCCAACCATAAGATGGGCAGTTTGAAGCCACCCGGTCTTCTGCTCCCGGAAAAGTTACGGCTCAGAAACCCACAGGGACAGTTTTCCCCCCTGTCCCGTAGGATGGCAATGAATTAGAAACCCCTCCATGCATGGTGTGGATGGTGATAGGAGTTGTGTGGGCCCCTAATGAAATGATTTAAAAAGAAAGAAAGAAAAGAAACCACTCCATAGCTGTGAGTGGGGCTGTCTTGTTTTCCTTGTCTCCAGGGAAACATCTTGAGTTTCCTTTCAAACCTTCAGCAGTGAGTCTCTCCCCCACCCCCACCCCGGGGGTTTTCCACTTCCTCTTTTCTGGCTAGCTGATACTCAGCGGTGACGCCTTTCCCTCTGAGCTGCCGGTGGCCCAGCACCTTCACCCACCCACCCAGGCTGTGCCCCCTCCCACCTCGCTCTGCCCACCCTGTCACAGCTCCAGCAGGTCCAGGCCAGCACCCCTGCTCAAGGGGCATCCAAAGGGAATTCACAGGACGCACGGGTCAGGCTTGTGCAATAAATCAGACTCGGCCCTCAGAGCTTCTAGTCTGCTACCACGGCCGGCCAGGGACCAAGATCAGAGGCATCTCGGCCTCCTTGGATACCAGCCCACCTGGGAGATGGCTGGGGCTCAAACAGGCCCCAGGACCAGCTCGCTTTGACAGGAATCTCGGAAACACCCACAAATGTGACAGAGGTCAAGGACTCCCTGCTCCTGGGGGAGCGGCGGGTCCGGCCTTTCTCACGCCAGGGAGGGACTTCTAACCTGCAGGAGCATGGGAGGTGTGAACCCAAGGATGACCCCCACCCACCCCCGACCCAAAGTGAGCGCAGACTTGGGGGAAGCCCAACTTCTGCAACTGTTGGCAAACTCACAGATGCGGCCATAGCGTGACCCCCGCATCCCTAACAAATGCCATCGATCAACCTCCAGCTCCAACCACCCTGGTCAAGGCCCCGGCTTCCTCTTCAGGCTGTCCCCCACTGGCTCAGACCCCCCCAGGCCTGGCCACCGCCCGGGATACCTCAGGTCCGAGTGCTACTCAGCACCGGGTGTCTCAGCCCCTAGGCCGATGTGGCAGGGACAAGTCTGAAGGAATGTGGTCTTCTGAGTCACAGGCTGCTTCCTGGGACGGCAGCCCCAGCCCCCACCCACCCATTGTGCTCCCAGACCCCCTCGAGCTCCCTACCTGGCTGGGGTGACAGTGCAGGCGCTGGGTTCCGGGGTCTTATCTGCGGCCCTCGGAATGTTGGTGGAAACCTTTGCCTGGTACGGCCCACTGCCGCTTGGCCCAGGAATCCCGCATTGAATAATTTTTAACTTGTGCTCCTGGAGGAAGCTCCGGGATGGTGCATACTGGTTTGTCCTCACAGGAATGCGAAGGGGCTTGCTTCGAAAAGGACATGCCCCACAGGAAAAATGTGAGGACTTTTTTTTAGTTCCATATGTTTCTACCACAATACAAACTTTTAAAACGAACACAAAATAGACGTTGACTCATCTTACCTTTTAAAAACATGCTGTTTAAAGCAAATCTTCTGATTATAACAAGAAAAACTGACCTTGGGAACGAAAAAAAAATCAAAGAACAAGTTCACCAGGGCCTGGGGGACTTGTGGGAAGGTGGCTGGGCCCTCCCGCCCAGACTGAATACCGCGCCCTCAGCCCCCCCCACCCACCCCCACCCCCGAGTCCACAGCAGCTCTGAGTCCCTGGGAAGAGGGAGGAGTAGGGTTTGAACCTCGCCTCCACACCAAGCCCTTTCCTGCCCATCAGCTCCGTGCCCATCCCTTGATTCCTTGATTTATTTTTCTTTAATAATTTTTATTGTGAAGTAGGTGAGCCATGGTGGGGTAGTGGTTCTGTGTTGGGCTGCTATCGGCAAGGTCAGCAGTTGGAAACCACCATGTGCTCCTCGGGAGACAGAGTAAAGAGTTAGTCCCGGGAGCCCACACATACGGCTCTAGAGTCCCTGAGTTGGCATTGCCTCGACGGCAGTGAGTTTATCACCAGTCCCCCTCACACCACCGGCTGAGGTACCTACACAAGCTTGAAAACTGGGGTCTCTCGGTCCAGGTCGGGCCAGACCCATCACAAGGGTTGGGTACCTGCAGCCCCTGGTCCTCAGCCCTGGGGGAGGACCCTGCCCTGGACATGGCACAGGCTGCCCGGAGATCTTGGGGGCCTGTGACCTCAAGAGGGGCAGGGAGGACTGCTCACCCTGGCCTAAGTGCCCACAGCACCCAGTGAATCGAGAAACAGGTGTTAGAGATCCAGTCTCTCTCTAACAACATGAGACACCCCCACAGCTGCAGGGCAGGTGCTGAGCAGACACCGGGGGTGCTGAGCAGACACCGGGGGTCCTGGTGGACCCACAGATCCCATGTGGGGACATCTGCTGGGGGAAGTTAGGGTAGAGGGGATGAAGGGGAGCAGAGCATGGCATGGGGGATAGAAGGGAGAACAGGGGAGCCAGGTAGAGACAGAGTGGACAACAGAGAGGGGTCTGGAGTCGGCCAGGAAGGACTCAGGCCGCTGGCCCATGGCTCAGCCCCATGACTACTGCTCAGTCACTTTCTGTCTGGCACCATTCACAGGCTCAGCTGCCGTGGTCCCGGGGGAGCACTTGGGATGTGACATGTGGTCACTGAACAGTGGCCAGACGGGAAGGGCCAGAGCCGAGGAGCAGGAGAGTTCCTGGAGTACAGACTCACCGTGTCCTGCACCCCCTCACCCCCTCAGATCCCCAAACTCTCCATCTGGTGGG